AAAAGTGTATTATCACAACTACAAAATTGATCACAGTAAGAATAAAACATCATCATATTGCCCATTTCTTCACAGAAGCCTCAACAATATGAATATAATTTAATTTTTTCAGTATTTAGTGTGCCCACACCTTTGCCTAGGGCTGAACAACGATGGTTATGATGTCACAGCAGTTCATAGAGAGATTGAAAGGAAAGTGTGTATCATAATGTTGGAGCATTAAAGAGCCTTCGGTGTTAATAGGTAAAATTTCCATACTTAAAACTTTGTATCAACATTATTGATATTAGACTGTAAGACTGTAATAAAATTGCAGCTCTTGCGATTTGAAAATTGCATTCTTCCAAATTGCGATTTCGATATAAAAATGATTAATCTTTCAGCCCTACCTTTGCCTTTATTACAGCTTCCATTCTTTTCCACTCTGCCAGAGTTCAGTCTTAGAAGTTGGTTGCACTTTCTGCTTCTATCTATTGTAGTCATCTCAAGCACATTCAGTGATGTTGAATTTTGGTCTCTGGAATGGCAAGTCCATTTTGGGCAGTAAGGGGGCTGAGGGGCCTGAAGCATTCCCTGATTTCAGGATCGCAACTGTTAAAAATCATAAGAACAGTAAAATGTTCTGAACTTTTTAATAATTTGAGCATAGTAAAGACTCCTGTGAGCCTGTTTTGGAGTTTGCATTTTTTATAGTTTCATTTTTCAATTTTGCTTTGTTTAAGTGAGCATCATATAATGAGCTGAAAACCGCTGGCCGCCTTGGGGGCACATCCTCAAAACACGGGCAGGTTGAGGTTCAAAGAGAGAAAGTCTAAGCAGTTATAGGCCAGTTCTGAGCCCCAAAGCAGCAAAGTGTTGTTTTTTAACTTAAATAATCAAACATAATAATAACATCTTATCAAGCACTGTATCTCCCACTCTGTGTGCATTCCACTGTTCAATCTCAGTGTGTGACTGTGGAATCACCACGTATCTACAAAATAATTGGTCGCTGCCCTGCTCATTTGCATAAAGTTCATCCAGAATGAGAGAGCAGTGGTTTGATGTGTCAGGTAAATGTTTTGTTGTCATGTCTCGCCTCTTATAGCCCTAAATGACACATACTGTTTGATGTGAATTGGCAAAAAAAAGGGGCAAACCATTTCACATGACATCATCGGTCACGTCACATATATGCCATATATAACACCTCCGCCCACAACCCTGAATCCATTGTTCTTTTCTGTCTATTGTCTTTTCCCAGTAAGGGCTTTGGAAGCTACATATCCTTTTAGACTCATAGTGCTGAGTTGTTCTTCTCACAGTGGAAGGATGAACAGAAACTCCTGTGGACTTTTTCAGATCTGAAGTAAGAGTGGAGCTTGATTTTCTCCTCTCTCTCAGAGATAAAAGCTTTAAGTACTGTGTATTTGATGGTGACAGTTTTGATGGTCTTAGCAGTCCCATTTCTTTATCTTTTAACATATATCAATATTTTTTTACTCCAGTTTTGTCCCTTTTGACTTATCCCTTCCTTATGTAGGTGGATTATCTTATATGTAACCTCCTCAAAAACATCTCCCATAAAATGAATAACTTAATGGCTGTATTGACTGGAGAAATGAATTAAGAGTGTTCTTTTGCTTTTGCACAGTACTGTACATTAGCTGATTCTGTGAATCTCTCTCTCAGACATATGCACACTAATTAAAGCAGTGCATTTCACTCATTTCATTCACAGCAGCCCCCACTTTCTGTTCAGTTCCCCCAACATATGGTCATGTTGTGACATATAGTTAATTGAATTATTATGGATGTTTGCTCTTGGATGGGGGAGCTATGCCAGTGCAGGGTTGTAATTTGCATTAAATATTTAAACAGAACAATGCTAAGATTAATGAATGAGCACTTTCACACGCTGATGGGCAAATAGTGTTTTATTAGCACTCCAGTGGAGGCTGGGTGGAACACTTTACGAAAGGCTTAATGCTATTTTGACTTGAGACACATGATTCACCAAGTGAATTCACCAAGTCTGAAAGAGAGCATATCAGGGGCTCGGTGTGCAGGATTTGCTCTGCTGAACGGTGTGCTGGTGTGTAATGTTGTGCAATATCTTGCACTAGCCTTTTGGGCATGGTTGCTCTCATTTGATGGATGTCACCAGGGATGTGATGAGCCGTGGGTGATGCTTTTGATTCCTACAGCTGTTAGAAATGAGATGACTTCTGATACCTTGCGACACGTGCTGCTCAACTGCTGCTGCAATATTGAAGGATATTAAAAGCTATTTTCGCCCGTAGTCTTAGGGACTGGGCAATATGATGAAACTTATCATTTTTGTGATAAATTACTTCACCTTACATCACAGTAATTGACAGTTTCTGTCCATCCTTCCACTGCGAGAAGACAACCGAACACTATGAGTCTGAAAGGATGTGTAGCTGTCAAGAAGCTGATACTGAGAAAAGAAAATAGACGTTTGTAAATAAAGCAAAAAGTTGCTGGCGGACTGACCACCCTAGAGTCCAGCCCTCAACATCACTGAATGTGTATGGGATTATTTGGATCGTGAGAAGCAGAAAATGCAACTAACTTTGGAAAAATATCCCTGAAGATTTACTTGAAAAACTGAACGTCAGTGTTTTCTGCTCATTTTCCTGACACTGCAAATGAATAACTTAAACTTAATAGCTGTTTTGACTAAATTTGAATAAATGGTGATTTTGCATAGTACTGTACAATTACAACATGTGTTTGTCTGCGAGGGTCTGTGTGCTTCTGTTTGAGTCTGAATGAGAATGTTTGTGTGTATCACAGCCTGTGATGGGTCAGACGCAGGGGTTAAGCTCCTGGCTGTAGATTCATGTTAACCCTGAAGCATTGATCTCCTGTCTGCAGCATCATTACTCTCACAACAGATTGTTACTGCAGGGCATAGAGACAGAGAGAAAGAGAGAGAGAGAGAGAGAGAGAGAGAGAGAGAGAGAGAGAGAGAGAGAGAGATTGGAAAAAGAACACCTCTTTTATGCCTTTTTATGTTTCTAGGTGGTAGATGAAAATCCAGCCGGAGCTCATTTCAAAATGTGCATAGTGGTTTAAATGGTTTGGGATTGAGATACTGAGAGAGGATCGTCATAGTTTAAGTAATGATATCTGTAGAGAAATGTATGTTGAATGGTGATGGCCATTATCGGCAATTTTCCTATTAATAGAACAGTCACTGGGAGGCAGACAGGCTATAAAAACAGGAAATCAACCCACAGACAATACATGTGTCTAACAACAATTGCCCTTGTTCAGAAGATTGATCATGTGCATTATGTGTAGGTGGGATTTCAGGCTGTTGTGTGAGAGCAGCTCATTTCATTCTAGAATGCTTTTCTCTCCGTAGCCAAGCGTAGCTGTCCAAACAGGGAGGAGACGCGCATTCACAGCCTCAGAGACTGACGCGGAGAGAGACAGAGACGGAGGGAGAGGGAGACAAACAAGGATTATTGAGGGTTCTTGGTCTGTAATCAGTGTGAAGTGTTGGCGTTGTTAACAGCCCATTACAATGGCCTGTCTATCTGCACCCTCACGCCGAAAAAACTCCCAACGCTTTGTTTTGTTTATACTTTATGTTTGTGTGCCAGCAGTTTGTTTTTAAAGGCATTACGTTGTGGCAGGTAAAAAGCTGGCAGCAAGTGTCAAAACGGAGAGATGCCCAGGAGAGTGGGAGGGAGACGAGAAAGGAGACAGATGGATTTTCAGAGAGCAATAGGAGGAGAGAGAGAGGAAAAAAGGAGGGATAAATGCCATATGGAGGGCTGAGATCAGGGTTTAAATGTTTGGGACGGAAGGAGTGGGCTTAAGATCTGAAAAAGAGCGAGAGAGAGAGAAACAGAAAGAGAGAGCGATAACGAGAAGGAAAGAAGACGGAAAGTGGAAAAGCTGTTTAAGAAGTGAGACTGGAGGGATTTTGAAGAGCTCACAGCGACAAGCTCGCAGAAGAGGAGGATAGGTAGAAGATGGAACGAAATTGCGGATTGAGAGAGAAGATGAGAGAAATGAGAAAGCGGAATGAGAAGCGGAGGAGAAAAAGCGATGACCCAGAAAGCAGCAGTACACCCTAGGCACCTCGTTCTGGCCTGACTCTCAAATAGAAACAATTAGTCCAGATCTTTCTAATGAGGCGCAATTAAATCTGCACTCTGCAGGGAGAGGGGGATGATGGAGGAGATAGAGGGCTGGAGACAGTAATAAAGGGATAGAAAGAGTGATAAAGCAGGAAACAGGTGATTCCTCGGGGTGCCCAGGATTAGAGATTAAATAAAGAAGAGTCTGTGTTTATGCGTGTGTGTGCATGCATGCATGAGTGTACGCGCATGCTTGTTTAAAAAGAACCTGTATCATTGAAAACTTTTCAGATAAATCACACAAAATACTATATGAAGCGAAGGATGGGGCAATATCAAGTCATAGCGCTGTGTGAGTCTCCAAAGGTATCAGCAGAGTAACACCTGTGTGTTGTTTTGGTTCTAGTCCAAAGCAGCTAAAGCAGTGGTGTCCAGTCTTGATTGCTAAGCGCTGCTGTGGCTGCAAGTTTTCATTCCAACAAAGCAGGAGCTCACATGATCAGTCGTTTGAAGACTGAGACGAACTGTTTTAGTGAGTAGAATCGGGTGCACTCTTGCTTGTTTGGATTGAAAACCTGCAGTCACTTTGGCCCTTTACGGATAAGATCGGACATCCCCAAGCTAAAGTGTTCCTGTCCACTTACTTTTGGAGCTCACTGTCCTTTAAATCTTTACAGATAACTACTACTCTGTGCTGCAAACCGTCTCCACTTTTTATATATGATCCACTGTCAACTGTCCTCATGCTTCTTTTTTCTTGTTTTTCTCAAAACCTCTCCCTCTACCTTTTTCTCTTTCCTTCTTTATCTCTCTTCTGTCTCTTTGCCTCTCTATTTGCCTTTTCTTTCTCTCTCTCTCTCTCTCTCTCTCTCTCTCTCCCTCTCCCGTTTTCCTGTGGTGAAGGGAAGGGAAGTTTGTGGTTCTCTCTCTGGCGATTGGATTGGCTGAGCAGGATGACTTTGCTAATCTACCTGACCTACAGGAGGTACCGCCCAGTCAAGAAACCCCTTCTGACAAGAGGTACCGGCTTGTGTGTGTGTGAGTGTGTGTATGTGACAGGTTTTATGGAATGAATGTGAGTATGAGAAGTTACTGATATTGTGTGTGTGTGTGTGTGTGTGTGTGTGCGTGTGTGTGGGTGTGTGTGATTTGAGAGTGAATGTGTGAGCTTCAGATCGAGTGTATTAGATAATGACTGAACAGTAGAAGAGTTCATTCAGTGAAGAACTGAGAGGCTTTTACATGCTCTTAACCAACCCACTCTGTTCTGTATAACTCCACTGGCCTTCTACATCATTAAGGGTGCTACACGTGGGATTAATGGAGAAATGGACTTGTTTCCACAATCTTGTTGCTGACAGTACAAGTTAAACTTAATGTGTGAATCTTTCTTCCTACTCGTGCATCCTTTGCCATCTGTTTGGAGCATCCATGCTTACTGTAATAGTCTACACAAATACTGCTTTAAAGAAAATGACAAATGGCAGGATCCACTCAAACCGCTAATTTGCTGAGAAATCTGACTCCCACTAATTATTGCCAGTGATGCTAAATGGAAATTATCATTATTATTACTATTATTTTGTGACTGATATGGATACCATTTTAAGAAGCAAAAATTCTCTATAATACCGACAGCATAATTTAATATAGTCAAAACAAAGTTGAACAGTGCTTGATATGAAAACACTGTCAAATATGATTACAGTATTACTGAAATCACTGCTGAGTATTTGTTACTTTTTGTTACAGGTAGATGGAGAAAATACATTTTATATTTTAAAAACTCTGTAAAATAATGCAGTATTTGACAGCCTCCACTTCTCTAGGAAGGCTTTCCACAAGAATTCGTAGTGTGTCTGTGGGCATTTGTGCCCTTTCAGTCAAAAGAATATTTGTGAGGTCAGACACTGATGTTGGACGAGAGTGCCCAGCTCTCAATCTCTGTTCTAGTTCATCCCAGAGGTGTATAGTGGGGTTGAGGTCAGGTCTCTGTGCAGACCACTGAAGTTCCTCCACAATAATGGGCCTAGCCCAAACCCTGATAAATACTAAACAGAGTACTGGACCGGAGGTCCACACGGAACTGTTTTTTCAGTCCCACTCTCACCCGTTCCCACAAGATTTTAATCCCGCTCCCACCCACTCCTGCAGAAAATCTGTATCATTTGTCTGCCACTCCTGCCTGTGCAGTTCCATCAAGGCAAACTGACATCCAATGTTTGACATAGTCAATTCACAAATACATTATTTTCTACTGAAAAAACATGGTAGTCATGGCCATCTGGCTTGCTGTGAAGTAAATTCACCATACGTCACTTAAAGCAAAGCAAGAATTAAAGCACAGAATTACTATTTTTGATATTTTGCTGGGCTTGGCAGGTGTGCTCATCAGACTGAAGGCTCTGCCATCTCTGTAAGCTACAAGAATTTGCATGTTGGTCACATGATTGGTTGCTCTTTAGAATGACTTCATTCATTTAAATTGTTTTACAATTATCATTTTATATTGTTTATATATATATATATATATATATATATATATATATATATATGATGGTGATCAATCTACTTTATTTAGACTATTTATTAATATATTAATCTAAATAGTTTCTAATTGAGAGCTTTGTCACGCTCTCACCTGCAGTGGGCAGGATACCCACTCCTGCACACAGCATTGACAATTAGTCCCATGTTGCAAGATATTGTGGTGAGTACAGTGGGAATCCCACAGGGCTGCAGACCTCTACTTTCCAGCTGATGCTTGGAACTGCGCATAATGACCTTTGGCTTGTGTGCAGCTGCTCTGCCATAGAAACCCATTTCATGAACCCATTCCATACACAGTTTGTGTACTGATGTTGCTTCTAGAGGCAGTTTGGAACTCTGTAGTGAATAATTCAATAGAGCATTGGCGATTTTTGCACTTTACGCTTCAGCCCTCGGTGGCCCTGCTATGTGAGTTTGCATGGTCTACTGCTTTGTGGCTGAGCTGTAGTTGCTTCTAGACATTTCAATTTCACAATAATAGCACTTACAGTTGACTGGGGCAGATCTAGCAGGCCAGAAACTTCTCCTGTTTTGTGAGAGACTCATCAAATTGGTGGTCTGCCACAACAGTTGGCTAGGGGGGAAGCACACTGGCAGTACAAGACTGTCAGTATGCAGCTTGGGCTTGCACTGCAGTTCAGCCTGTATTACTGTAATGAAGGTGAGCAAGTGGTGACTGTCTGTTTGGCAGTCACTGTAACGACCGATATAACAACATTATATAATTTAGTTATCAGAAGATTTTGGCAGGATTTTAACTGATTTCAACCTTAATATCTGCCAGTGTAATTGGTCAGTCTTAATATTAGCCACTATAATTGGTCAGATTTAATATCAACCAGTATAATTGGTCACTCTTTATATCAGCCAGTATAATGGGTCAACTGAGAACTGAGCCATTCTCTTTCTCTCTCTCTCTCTCTCTCTCTCTCTTGTCTGTTGTGTGGGTTAGCATTTAGAAGGAAGGGTGTTTAGATGAAGCTTCTTGGTGTCTGTCTGACTTCTAATGATGGGGTTTGGCTGCATGTCACTAATAGGTAACCAGCTCATTAATCATTCTAATGAAGTCCTCACCTGAGGCCCATGAGGGTTCATGCACGCTACTGGGTGCTGTGTGTGGGCCACAGCTCGTGTTTTGTTTTTCACACTGGCACTCCATGCGCTCATTTGCTTTTCTTTCTTGCCATGTGTTTGCTCTTAGTCCTTTTCATCTCTTCTCCCTCACCCCATATCCTGTGTGGTATCGTCCTTTTCCCTTTCATGTTTCTTTTTTTTTACAGGTTTCGTTCTGTTTTTCTTCTTCAGTCCTCCCGTCCCCTCACTGTCGTCTTTATCCCCTCGCTTATTCCTCCGTTATTATGTTGCTCATTAGCTTTACCTCCACTCCTCCATGCTCTGGTTTGTATGTGTGTGAGCATGTATGTATGTCTGTGTTTTAACAGAGGACTCTGCGAGTGTCCTAATTATTCTGGAACATGCCAGTCGCTTACGTAAACATTTGTCTATAAATAAAGCTTTCTTTAATAGCCTAGACGACACACACACACACACACACACACACACACACACACACACACACACAGAGCCCACATTTCTCACGAGTATACAGTAGATTGACAGCCCTCTCCCCCTCAGATAGCTATCAGTGCAGAATAGTTTCTCAGAGTCATTTCAATAATGACTGCGTTTCTGTGGCATAAATTAGGTGTTATCATTTGGAGTGCTTATGAATAATAGTCTCTCACTAAACAAGATGGGTCTCTCTCCATCTCTCTCTCTTTGTCTCTCTCTCTCTCTCATCTGTTTTTCTCTCTCTAACATTCTCTCTCTCTTCTCTCTCCTCTCTGTTTCTCTTTGTCTCTCTCTCGTCTCTGTTTCTCTCTTTCTAATTTTCTCTCCTCTCTCTTTCTCTTTGTTTCTCTCTTGTTCTGTATCACTTGCTTTCTCCTCTTTTCTCTTTCTCTCTGACTCACTCACTCTGTTTCTCTCACTCTCAGTTCAGTTCTAGTGTACTTTATTGGCATGAATGTAACCAGATGCATGATTGGCAATGCACTTAACAATTACATAAGAGAAAGACACATTAATAGATTCAATTAATGGAGATTCAAATAGAACACTAGAAATCAAGCTATTTACAGGATCATCACTCATCAATAAAGGAAAAGGACAAGGAGCAGTTGAGACAACTTCTAAATAAATCAGTAATAATCAGGTTCTGTAGATGTCACAAATCTCTACATGTAATAATGCCACTTTTCTCTCTCTCCATTTCTCTATCGCTCTATCTCTACTTCTTTTTCTCTTACACTGTCTCTCTCTCTTTCTCTATTGCTCTCTCCCACACTTGACAGTTGGCATGTTTCATGCTTTTGTGTTTATGATTTACAGTGTTTGAGTGTTTGCCAGCATGTGTTATGAGATCAGAGGCAGTAGTTTGTGAGGGAAACTCCAGCATCTTAAAGCACTTAAGATGGCAAGAGATCATCATTAATATTAAACACACATAGAAGCAACAGGGACTTTCACTATCCTATAAACCTCTTAAGCCTATCAAATCTAACATTTTGCTGGCAGTACTTTCAGAGGTGCTGTCCCCTTTAATTTGGTGCACATGCATGTCCACATTCGGTATAGTAATATATAACATGATGGGCACCAATACTGATATTGAAACCTTGAGAATCAGCAGATACCGATACCTATAAAATAATTCTCCTATTTTTTTTTTTTAAAAAAACTACTAAACTTTAAAACAGGCTTTAAAATGTTGTCAGCTAAGGCACTTCAGATGATCATTTAAAGATCATGCTGATGCTACTGAAACACTCTACTACCCCAGAGGAAGACATACACAGCTAACAACATCACATCACGCAGTGTGAGCATGTGCTATTTCAGGATAGATTTGTTACAGGATTGAATCAGATTCATTCTTTTTGAAATTTGGCCCAGTACCGATATCTGGTATCAGATCAGGGCCATCTCTATTTATCGTTGGATTCACTGCAATAGTTTAGTTTCACTTTTGTTTTATTGTGAGTAACAATAAAAGAGACTTAAGTGTGAAGTATATTCCTATTCATGTGTTTTTCTGCTCAAAAAAAGTGACAAAATCTACAAAATTTTTATTTGCTCACTTTCTTTACATTAAACTTCTCAACAGCGTTGAGAAATCACATTGTTAAAGGAAAGGGGTACATTTAAATGCAGAAATAACAGCTTTACCTTCATACTTAAGATTAAACCAGACCAGAGCAGCTACTGTGGCCTTGGTTTCCTTTGGTTCAAACTGAAGCTCAATGTAAAAAAATGTACAAGATGTTCATTCTCTTACTCTTTCTTCTTTGTATTAGAAAGTTTGTTAAGGTTTAGATGTTGCTGAAGGACAGTACACAAAGATCACCCACTTAAGCATTTACACCAGTGTACTGCTTGCAGGCTAGAAGTGCCATCTGGCAAGCTGTGGG